CATGATCTCAGGGTCCTGGGACCGAGCCCCACATCAGGCTCTCCGCTCAGCAGGTAGCCTATTACCCACTGCCCCCCTCTGCCTGCCTCTATGCCTACTTGTGATTTCTCTCTCCATCAAATAAATAAATAAATAAATATTTTTAAAAAAATAAAGAATTTAAAACCTGAGCTCTAACTTCAGAAAGTGCACAAGTTTTAAGTTTTACTTATGCACACATTCATGTAAATTGTCACTTTTAAAGGCTGCAGAATGATGGATTTAAGGGCGTATGCAGCAATATAGTAAAAAACAACCCCAGGCCGCATAGTTGGGTCAAATTGAATCTGCTTGCCAGACTATTTAAAATTCATACTTAACAACTTTATTTGCTATTAATGTATCTTCTAATAAAATTATTTTTTTTAAAAGATTATTATTTTTTTGACATAGACACAGTGAGGCAGGGAACACAAGCAGGGGGAGTGGAAGAGGGAGAAGCAGGTTTCCCTTGGAGCAGGGAGCCCGATGCAGGGCTCGATCCCAGGACCCTGAGGTCATGACCTGAGCCGAAGGCAGACGCTTGACTTAGCCATCCAGGCGTCCCTCATAGGACTATCTTGTTAAAAATCCTCTATTCCTGGGGCGCCTGGGTGACTCAGTGGGTAAAAGCCACTGCTTTTGGCTCAGGTCGTGATCCCAGGGTCCTGGGATCGAGCCCCACATCGGGTTCTCTGCTCAGCAGGAGGCCTGCTTCTCTTCCTCTCTCTCTCTGCCTGCCTCTCTGCCTACTTGTGATCTCTGTCTGCCAAATAAATAAATAAAAATCTTAAAAAAAAATACATTAAAAAAAAAATCCTCTATTCCTTTCATACTGTTGGGCTGCCTCTTTAAAGCTCAATCTTTCCCAACTAAGGAAAGATTTCAACTTCATCATTTCCCGAGTATCTGCGCAATACCTGCTAAGGGCAGAGTACTAAACTTAGTCCTCATGGAATACACAGTGAGCCAGGAACAGCCGCCCTCAAGGAAATGTCACAAATGGGGCCAAAAAAAAGCCAGGCGCAAAGGTAGCTCAAATGTTATGCAGAATAGCGCTCAGCAAAGGGCTAATAGCAGAGCTTGGAAATTCTGCTCCACAGGTCACTTGATCCATTTCCCCTTTTAGAAGTGCCCTGCCCTGTCCCCCACTTCCCTAGTGAGAAGTCACCTTTACCTGATTCTGTTCTAGGTGATGATTCTCCTTTTCCTCCATCTCTCGCTTGATGCTGCTGGAACCCAGCCCGTCGGAACTCATCTTTCCAAGCCACTGGATGTTGGTCAAGCTGTTGTCGAGAACGCAGCCTGCCGCCTCGCCGCCAGCTAGAGAGTAAACAACCCAAGATGCCACTTAGCTGCCTGATCCCAGTGCCTGGCAGGCCCATCAAAATTGGTGGGTAGGGAGCATCTCTCCAAGACCTCTACCCATAGGGACAGGGAACACGTGCTGTATCTACTGTGGTCCTCAGGTACTCTGCCCCATTACAGATCTCAGGAGAAACTCAGGAGCCACACTGAGCCTGAGAGATCAGTCAAGGCAACTGTATCAAAGTTAGTATTGGTGCAAACAAAGTCACTTTTCCTCCTCATGCTTCCGTTTTCTCCTTTATTAAAATGGAGAAAGATTCCTATTTCCTTATGGTCAACGGGAAAGAGAACAGCTAGAAGAAACAAATCCTTTCCTAATATAAGGAAAAATAAGAGAAATGCTAAATTATAATTTGGGCACTTTCGACGGTGCCCAAAGGATCTGGGTCAAAGATTTGGGATGAAGAAAGACAAGACTTTCCCCTGGTTCAGGCTAGGTGCCCGTCTGTTAAGTACCAATGTGATGGACTGCAGTCCTTTCTACCAGAGAGGAAAGGCTGGGCTCCTCACCCCTTTGCCTTGCAGACCACATACCACAGCTCTCCCATCTCTGCCCTGGAAGGGCTCCAGGTGGTCTAGGAAGATTCACATCCCTAGCTGCAGGCTTTGGTCCCAGGGTCTCGGTGACCACTCCTGTCCTCTTGGGATCATTGCTGGTTTGGGCTTGAGGCTGGGGTCCTGGAGGGTGAGTGGGGGCTCCCCCACAGCTGATGAGGATGAATTTGTTGGGCCCACTGCTGCCACTCTCTTTTCCTTTGGCGGTCAATGCTGTGATGATGCTCTGGATATTGGCATTGTTCGGGACGGCCACCACTTGGGTGTTGGGCATGGTTGGGTGGTTGATGATCTTGATCCCAGCTGGAAACTTGCAGGAGTTGGACTCTGCCGCCTCCTTGGAGGCCTGTGCTTGACCAGGCTCTTGTTGGGCAGGGGGCCTCTTAGGTTCCTCTCCTGATGTTTCACCTGGGGCATTTTGAACAGGAAGGGGCAGCCTCCGTCTTTTGAGAATCAGTGGCCGACGGGGGCTGGTTTTCATTATGAATCTGTGTTTTCACTCTCCATTGAGAATCACAAGCACGGGCCCTGGAAAGTACAAGGAACAGCAGGATGTCAGAAATCTGTTACGCTGAGAAAGGAGGTACTGCTAGAGAGAGGCGTTCCTCTTTCCATGACCAAAAGCATGAGCCCACGGGCCCAGGTTAATGATCCCTGGGCCTCTGTAAAGACCTCAGACAATAAGGAGATGAGTTCTACAACAAAAGAAAGCTAAAACTGAAGCATTTCAAAAGGGGAAAGCAGGGTTGAACGTAGGTCAAAATGAGCAAAGGTCTTCCCGAAGCTTAAGAATGTTTGACTACAGAAATGAATGGGACAGTTACACAAATGTGGAAATTTCTATGATTGCTTATTATAGTACAGATCACTTTCAGTGACTCTAGGGACAGGGATGCTGGAATAGGAGGACATTTGGCAATTTGAGGACCAAACTCTGATCCCATAATGTATTTTAGGATTGATAAAGCCTGTATATTTTTATATCATCTCAGTCTATAAATAAAAGGATAAGTGTCCTAGGATCAGAGGAGAAAGCAGATTGCACTACTGTTCCCTTGCCATCATCTCCCACTTCACAAGACCTCAAAAGAAAATAAACTGCTCTATTCAAGGCCCATAGCGCTATTCATCTCACAGGCTATTATCCTTGCTGGTAAAAGCAAGAGTACACTTTTCTTTCACAATTTGCAAAATATTTCTTTAGCGACATTTTAATACTTGCATGTGCTTATTCATATTTTAACTTTCGAAGCATGTCACTCGATTGCTTGATTTCTCTTCCAGAACCAAGACTACATTCCTTATCTCTCGGCCAACAATGTGCTGTCATCAATATGCTAAGTTGGCTTTGTCATGTTAAGGAAAATAGTTTCATCTTTTAAAAAAATGTGTTGGGGCGCCTGGGTGGCTCAGTGGGTTAAAGCCTCTGCCTTCAGCTCAGGTCATGATCCCAGGGTCCTAAGATCGAGCCCCGCATCGGGCTCTCTGCTTGGCAGGGAGCCTGCTTCCCTCTCTCTCTCTACATGCCTCTCTGCCTACTTGTGATCTCTGTCTGTCAAAAAAAAAAAAAAATAATAATAATAATAATAAAAATAAAAAAATAAAAATAATGTGTTTATTGGGCGCCTGGGTGGCTCAGTCACTTAAGCATCTGCCTTCAGCTCAGGTCATGATCCCGGGGTCCTGGGATTGAGCCCCATGTTGGGCTCCCTGCTCAGCGGGGAGTCTGCTTCTCCCTCTCTCTCTCTCTCTCTCTCCCTCTCTCCTCACCCCGCTCTCGTGCTCTCTCTCTCAAATAAATAAAATCTTAAAAAAATTTTTTTGTGTTTGTTGATTTTAATAGATACACGGAATACTCCGCCATCATGTAAAATCATGTAATCCTCTTTAAAGGCACTTTGACAGAAAAATGGGCTGTCTGTGTTAGGAAATCCACTATCTCCCTAAAAATGTCTGTCACAGCCCAATGACATTTGCCACCTGCTTAGAGTTCACAGGCTCTCTCCACTCGCCCCCTCCCTTTCCTTTATAACTAGGTTTCCTCTACTTTCAAATCTCAGTTTTATTTCTACCTCCTGTCTCTTTGGGCCTGCCTCCCTCCCTCCCTTCCTCCCTCGCCCACCAATGAGGAAATACTATTATTCCTTCCCCATCCCCAAAAGGTATCTTCCGGGTCTAAGGCTTAATTTTGCTTTCAACTCTCTGACCAGTCTCTTCCTATCATGGCCAACTCTTTAAGCTAGGGGACTTCCAGAGTGACTCCTCTGACACCCACTGCCCATCCTGACCAGGGAAACCTTGCAGGTTCTCAGGAACCGGGAGAAGGGCCCTGGAAAAGGATGGGGTGGAGGCTGTGCTGCTCAGTGGTGAGAGCGCTTGGGAGGAGCGGAGGGTGTGGACAGTTTTGTCTTTGCCTTAATGCAGAATAAGCTCAATCTTCACGCCAGCCACCGACGGCCTAGAAAAGTAGGCCACCCCAGCAGCAGCCCCGAGGTTGTGGGCAGGGCGCAGAGGTCAAACTTCCAGGGAAGGCCAAGAGGTGGTGTGAGGAAGAAGAGAGGACAAGGCCAGGAGGTTGGAGGCAGAAAAAGTTTGCTCCCTCTCCCAGCCCTCCTTCCCGTGGGGCCCCAAACCTCCACTCCAGTCCCGCGCCCTGCCGCTAGACCCCCTGACCTCGGCGCCCGAGCCCGGGCTCCCTGCCTCTGCCCCGGCCCTAGCTCCGACTCCATTCCTCCGCAACCCCCGCCCCCCCCGCTCTGCTCACCTCCCGTCTGCAGCCGCCGCCGCTGCTGCTGAGCTGTGGCTCCGAGGGCGGGCTCCCGGCTCCTCCAACCTGGGGGCCGAGCCAGGGGCCCGGACAGGGACTCGCGCCAGGCCGGCCGGGTCCCCGGCGGTGTGGGAGGGGTGGGGAATCCCGGGGGATCCCGGGAGGGGAGGGGTCCCGGGCCAGGGGGCCGGGGGTGGGGTCGGGCACCGGAGCTTTCAGTTTGTTCCGCTGTTTGAAATTGGCGCCGGCGGAGCGTTGCGGTCACGTGACGGAGCGTCGCCAATCGGCGGCCGTCCTTGTCTCAGCGTTCCGGGCTCGAAAGCCGCGGCGGCCCAGGCGAGCGGCGGCCGGGACGCTGCCGGGCGGGTAAGGCGGGCCGGCGGCCGGCTCGTGGGGAGGGGGGCGGTCGGGGGCGGCCTGGAGGGCGCAGGAGGGGCCCCCGCGGCGGGGGGCGGCCGGGCCGGCCGGGGCGGCGGGGAGACGGCGCTGCCCGGGGCCGGCGCCCTCGGCCTGCGCTCCCTCGCGCGTTGCGGGTCGCTGTCCTGCGCCCGCCCCCGGCGCCGCTCTTCCCGCCTCTCTCGCGGTCCTCCGGCCTTTTCAAAGCCTCCCGGGTTTGGCTTCCCTCCTGGGGGGAAACGACTCCTTGCCCCGCCGACGAACAATCGTCTGGCCGCCTCGACTAGTCGACCGGCGTGTCATCTTGTTTAAGCTTCCTCCATCTTAAAGAAAACCACGCCATGATAATACTTGATTAACTTGGTCGACACATTTTGTTGAGCACCTACTATGTGCCAGGCCCTGCTAGGGTACCAGTGGTAGTAGGGGAGGTTCTTTCCTTACCCCGTATACAGTCTGACGGGAAGAGAGGAGACAACAGCCATTTCTGAAGAATCGAATAAGCAAGAGGAGAATTATAGCTGCGAAGGGATAAATTAGAGAGGTCATTGATAACTGAGTATCTACCGTAAGATTTTGCCTTCGGTAGGTCAGGAAAGACTTTTCTGGACAGACGCTTGTTCTGAGGTCTGATGCCTTTGTGCAAAGAAGGGAGTGAACCCCGCAAAGCAAAGGGAAGATGGTGTGCAAAGGCTGTGTGGCAGGAAGAAGATTGGGAGTGTACAAAGCCTGAAGAATAGAGCAGGAGCCAGGGCTGAGAGACCTGAATAGAGTGTGGTGTGAGACGAAGCTGGAGCTAGAGGAAATAGGATCTTAGCCATAACTGAGGGAGTTTGGGCCTTATCCAGAAATCAGAAATTTTAAGCTTTGAGTCCAGATCAGATTTGCATTTTTAAAAGCCTCCCCTGCAGGGGGTGCTGGAGTGGATTAGGGTAGACCCGTTCAGGCTACTGCAACACTCCAGATCAGGACTGTTGGAACTTCAAAGGTGGTGGGGAGAGAAAGAGCATGAGAGAGGGGCAAAAGCGGCATTATTGAAGACATGCTTAAGAGGTAAGGTTGTCAGGGCTTGATGATGTTGGATGGGGACAGAGGTGGGACATGTCAAGGTTTCTGGCTACGTAACTAGATGAATGATAATACCATAACCCGAGCAAGGGCCTTGGAAGATAATCACCTGTGGAGCGGGTGCAGGGGAGATGATCATGAATTCAGTTTTAAATATGTTGAGTTATGGGGCGCCTGGGTGGCTCAGTGGGTTAAGCCTCTGCCTTCGGCTCAGGTCGTGATCTCAGGGTCCTGGGATTGAGCCCCGCATCGGGCCCTCTGCTCAGCAGGGAGCTTGTTCCCACCCCCCCACCGACCCCCCGCTTGCCTCTCTGCCTACTTGTGATCTCTGTCTGTCAAATAAAGAAATAAAATCTTTAAATATGTTGAGTTTGAGGGCGCCTGGGTTGCTTAGTCAGTTAAGTGTCTGCCTTCGGCTTGGGTCTTGATCCTGGGGTACAGGATCGATCCCTTCATCTGGCTCCCTGCTCAGCAGGGAGTCTGCAGCCTCTCCCACTGTCTGCTACTCTCGCTGCTTGTGTGCTTTCTCTCTCTCTGTCAAATAAGTAAAAAAATAAAATCTTAAAAAGGAAAAAAAAAGATATTTAGAATTTAAAATATATAAATAAGTTGAATTTCAGCTGTATTTGAGACATCTAGTTAGTGTCAAGTAGGCAGTGGGTATGTGGGTACTGAGTGTAGAGAATTCTAAGCTGAGCGTATAAATACTTAAGTCATCCACTTGTAGGTGTGAGCCGATGATTGCCTATGAAAGGTGTGTAAAGTAAGAAAAGCTCCAAAACACAGCCAGACGGAAAGGTTTTAGAGAGCAAACAGGACTGACCTGCGATTGTAGCATGAAGAGAATGGATGCAGATATATATAGGTTTGTATGTTCGGTATCTGGAAAGTGAGAGTATTTTCTTTGGTGTCTCTTGCATTCTCTGTGAAGTAGGAAGTAAGGTCATTTGTTAAGAGGGATGAGGAGTTCTAAGGTTTTAAGAAAGTGGAAATATCTTAAGATAATATGCAGATAATGAGTTGATGAAGGAAACGTAGTAGGATTACTGCCTAGCAATGTCATGTCTATTGGAGGCTGGCTAATGTCAACACTTTGGAATCATTGCTATTGCTGTCCTCTCTCCACGGGACTCCTGCAGCAGCCCTTTAACTGGGCATCCTGCTTCCTTTCTCCACGCCTGCTCTCCCAACCCACCTGTTCTTACAGACTGTCTGAAGTTATCATTGTAAAATATAAATGTCGCTTCCCTGTCCAGAGCCTTGCCTTGGCTTCCTGTCACACCAAGAATGATTAAGTCCAGAGTCCTTCACCTTACCTGTGAAGCCCTGTGTCTCTTGAACTGGTTCTCATCTTCTCTCCTTTCTTCATTTCAGGTCTTTGCACAGAAAACACTTTTTCAGTCGCCTTCCCTGACAACCCTGTCTAAAAGAGCACCGCGTTGGGCCAAACCCTTATCCTGTTTGGTTTTTCTCCATAGACCCTTCCCAGCTAGGATGTGAGCCCCATGAGGGCAGGGATTTCATTTTGTTCTCTGGTTTATATTTCCAGCCCCAGGAACAGGGCCTAGCGCTGTGGGCACTCAGTAAGTGTTGGTTGAATGGCTGAACGAACAAACAAACAGCTGGGTGTATTACCTGTGTTCTCCCTAAAAATGTTAGTTCCTGAGTTTTGTCCTTTCTTTTTCCTTTACCTGTATCTCCACTGCCTAGTGACAAAAGTAACGTAAGAGTATGTTACTTTTTATTGCTGACTGACTGAATGAATCATGAATGTGTGGTGGGACCCATCTGCCCTGTTGGGGGACTTTGCCAGATGTTCAGCTGCACCTCCCATGCAACTCTCCGTTGCACACAAACTTCTCTCCCACGCTTCCACTGATGAAGCTCTTACTGAAGTCGATCTGGTTACTAGATCTGGCCACTTTTTTCAGACTTTTTATTACTCCATGGGCCTGTTAGTCCTGCTTCTGTGTCTAGCCCCCATTTCCACTGACGTAGCCCAGATTCAGGCCTGATCATTTCTCACTTAAGTAACCTCCTAAAACCTGACCCCCTACTTCCAGAGTACTCCCTCTCCTTCCACGCTGTTGCCAGGATGACCTGTCTAAAAGACAAAAACAACTAACTATGACATTTATGAAACAATTAAAAATTTGAACAGGTCTAGATATTTGATAATACATTTTTTAATTTGTCAGAGAGAGCACAAGCAGGGGGAGTGGCAGGCAGAGAGAGAAGCAGGCTCCCCGCTGAGCAAGGAGCCCTATGCGGGACTCGATCCCAGGACCCTGGGGTCATGACCTGAGCCAAAGGCAGAAGCTTAACCCACTAAGCTACCCAGGCATCCCTGGATATTTGATAATATTAAGGAATATACATATATATATATACGTATAATTAATGGAGATGATATAATGGTTGGCAATATCATCTTCATAATACAGGAGTAGGGGAAGTGGATGAAGGGTGGATGGATCCGGATGGCTATGGGTTGATGGTCATTGCAGCTGGGTGATGAGTACTTGGGGGCTCATATTATTCATCCCCCTTTTGTGTATGTTCAAAATTATCTGAAGAGAAAGTTAAAAAAACAATCCAAGTGTGATCACATCGTTCTGCTTGAAAATCTTCAGCGACAACTTAGGCTAGAGTCCAAACACTTATGGCACACTTGCTTTTTTTCTTTTTCTTTTCTTTTCTTTTCTTTTTTTTATTTTTAAGATTATATTTATTCACTTGAGAGAGAGAGAGAGAGAGAGACAAAGAGAGCACACAAGCAGGGGGAGAGGCAGAGGCAGAAGGAGAAACCGGCTCCTCTCTGAGAGCCTGATGTGGGGTTCGATCCCCGACCTGGAGATCATGACCTGAGCCGAAGGCAGCCGCCTAACCATCTGAGCAACACCCCGGTGCCCCACACCTGCTTTTTCTGACTTGACCCTGACACGGGTCCAGCCTCTGAGGTCTTGCATCTGTCTTTGCATATGCTGTGTCCTGCTGCATGGAGTCTATGAGACCTTGAATTCTCGGTCTTGTCTCTGGGCCTCTGTATGTGCTGTTCCTCAGCCTGGAGGCTTTCCCTAGCCCTTCTGTACTAGGTCAGGTATTACCCTCTCTAGAAAGCCTTCCCCGCAGTACGTGGAAGCATTCTTTATAATAATTTTCTGTCTCTCTCTGCTAGCCTCTCAGTTCTTTGAAGACAGGCACAATCTTACCTTTGTGTCCCTACAAGCACTTGGCACTTGATAAATGATTGTAGAATCAATGGTTATGCATCTTTAAATTCCCAACGCCCAGCATGGCATCCAGCACACGCTCGATCAGTGTGCATTGAATGAACGTTGTTGAACGGGAATTCCTGTGTTTTTACTTGGTGGTCGTAGGGATAGGAAGCTGTGCTCCCTGCAGTGTGGAGGTAGGGGTGGTAGTTGATAGTAGAACTGGTTGACAGAGGATGAGCAAGAGCTGGGGACGGAATCATCAGAATTGTCTCCCACCTTTTGTTTTTTCCCCTCTGCAGGCATGGGTTGGAATCGGAGCCTGAACTCCGACCCGACTACAACCAGCATCATGCAGTTACTAACTGCTCTTCATTCACCTATTGATGCCTCCCAGAAAAAAACGCCGCCAGAGTTCCCAGAAAGGCCAGCTGCTATTCCAAGAACCACCACTGGAGGGCCCCAAACACCACTATGGCTCTCCCCAGCTTACCATCACCCACACTAGACAGGTGCCCAGCAAGCCCATTGACCATAACACCGTCACTTCCTGGGTAGGATATGGGATTCTTACTTTGACTTTTGCTCGGTTAGGCTTTTCAGAATGCTGCCACTTCTGCCCCTTAAGCCAGGGCCTCCAAAGTTTCCTGGGGGCTGGGATAAGGAGGCAATGTATTCTTTTTGTTATCAGCCATCTTTGTATATTTTCTTTTCTTTTTAAAGATTTTGTTTATTTATTTGACAGAGAGAGAGATCACAAGTAGGCAGAGAGGCAGGCAGAGAGAGGGAATAGGGGAAGCAGGCTCCCCGCTGAGCAGAGAGTCCAACAAGGGCCTTGATTCCAGGACCCTAAGACCATGACCTGAGCCGAAGGCAGAGGCTCAATCCCCTGAGCCACCCTGGCGCCCTGTATATTTTCTAAGTTCAAGCTGAGGCAAAGGCTGGTTGGAGTAGGAGTCTTTCCCTCCACATTCTTCTTAAAGAGTTCAGTATAAAAGTTTCATTACTTTTATACTGAACTTTTATTATACTTTTATTACTTCAGTGACCTACTCATTCAGTAGGTCACTGAAGCAGCCAGATAAATGGCAGAATGAGTCAAAAATGAGACTGTTCCCCAAGCTTCACTTGAGAGGTAAACTATTTAACTAGGTATGGTATTTACAGTTTAATAGAGTGAACCTGGGAAAAAACCCACAGAAATGACATATCATATTTTGACAGTTTCAAGGCTCTAGGAAGAGAATACAGCTACTGTCAGGGCAGTAGTATAGCCAGAGGGCCAGACAAAAGCAAACTTCACTTAAGAGTGCTTAATAAATATAGCTTGTTCAGGATTGCTTGGAAGAAACAAATACTTGCTTCGGAATTGTAGAAGAAACTGAAATGTTAGAATCCCGTGGGTGAGGAGTGAACATTTAGAGAACTCTTCATGTGTCGGGTGTTTTTTTTTAAAGAAGAGTTGCGTGGTTTTTTTTTTTTTTTAAGTTTATTTATTTATTTGACAGAGAGAGAGATTACAAGTAGGCAGAGAAGCAGGCAGAGAGAGAAGGGAAATCAGGCTCCCCCCTGAGCAGAAAGCCTGATGCGGGGCTCAATCCTAGGACCCTGAGATCATGACCTGAGCCGAAGGCAGAGGCTTAACCCACTGAGCAACTGAGGCGCCCCCATGTGTCAGGTCTTAATGCTAGCTGCTTCCCATACATGATCTCATTCCCTATTCTTTTTTTTTTTTTTTTTTTTAAAGATTTTATTTATTTATTTTACAGAGATCACAAGTAGGCAGAGAAGCAGGCAGAGAGAGATAGGAGGAAGCAGACTCTCTGCTGAGCAGAGAGCCCGATGCAGGGCTCGATCCCAGGACCCTGGGATCATGACCTGAGCTGAAGGCAGAGGCCTTAACCCACTGAGCCACCCAGGCGCCCCTCATTCCCTATTCTTGAACTCAGCATTCACTCTACTGGGGGCCTTCTTCGTGCCAGGCACTCTGCCAGGTGCTGGGCATCAAAGGTGAGGAAGATTGCTTGTCACTGCCCTCAAAGTTTAAAGATTGTTAAACAAGTTGTGGTGCGATAAATTAAAGGAGGCATTGTCCCTTTTCTTAAACTCGAGGAAGCGGAAAGCCAGAGAGATCGAATTACTTGCCCAAAGCTCATATCCCTTTATTTTAATATCCTGTTAGAGGGATATTTTGTTCTGTGGCAATTACTATAGTGGGCTCCCATTTAGAATTCTGGTCCTTCGGTATAGTTTCCACTCTCAGGTTCCTACTTGGTAGCTGGCTTGCCTCACTTCTTTTTGGTTTTTGTTTTTGATCCTTAAGGTATCACCTCAGTTTGATATGACAGCAGAAGGCTGGTTCCCAGTGAACCAGAAGCGTCATCGTCGAAACCAGGCAAGACATTCAAGTCGAAAATCCACCACCTCCAAGTTCCCACATCTAACATTTGAGAGTCCGCTGTCTTCCTCCGGTTCAGCTGCACTTGGAATGCCCTTGACCAGGGAATGTCCTGGTCAGTCAGAAAAGCGCATTTCTGGAAGGTCCTTAGTTCCAATGCTCAGTCCTCAAAACTGTGGGGAAGTGTCAGCACACGTGCTTCAAAACTTACCTTATGTATTCATTCCACCTGATATCCAGACCCCAGAGTCATCGTTTGTGAAGGAGGGGCCCGTTTCCCCCGATCAGAGGGAACGTAGCCTTCTGAGTGGCTCCTTCCACACTAGTACTCCCAAGAGCCCGGAGGCTGGGCCTGTTCTAGTTAAAGACACCCCTGAAGAGAAGTATGGGATCAAGGTCACATGGAGGAGACGATGCCACTTGTTTACTTACCTCAGGGAGAGAGGGAAGCTGAACAAAAACCAATTCCTTGTGAAGAATTCACTGGATTCCTCAGACTCCAACAGTCTTGAGAAATTTTCATGAAGTTGCTAAAGTACTTTTCTGGCTCGCAGGAGAGTACATTAGGAGAATAAAACAGAAATAAAACCAATAACCTCAATAGAAAAAAGATGTCTTAACCAGAATTTTGGAGTCATAAGGGAATTCAATTCCCAGATTTGCTTTTTAAAATATCTTTTCCTAGAAAGTTTTTAGTGTCAGAAACAGTTCATATTTTCCTTACATTAACTTTAAAATTTTAAAGTATCTTGTAGTAACTATTTAAAATATATGTAAATAAATGGTTGCAGAAAGGTTTTAGAGACCCCTGCTTCTGATTACCAATCACTCAGCAATACTGCCTTCTCCACAAAAGGTCTGTCTTCATTGTTTTTTAAAAACCACTAATTAATCCTCTAATCACCTCATTCAAACTAATTCATTCCACATTTTTGAGTACAAACTCTGTCAGGCTCAGCAGCAGCTTCCTTTATAATATGATGGGCAGGGAAAAATTAAAGCAAACTCTGCGACTTCGTAGCTGAGCTGTCCCCTCTGCAACCTTGCTCCTCTGCTCAAAGGCCAAGGTGAGGAAAGGCAGCAAGCCCTAACTGAATACAATGGGGTCAGGGGTCATAAAGGGGATGTAGATAAGTTGCTTAGGCTTGCCATATTTTGGTTTTTTTATTTGCAACCAAACTAATCTGTAAATATCAAATAGGGTGGGAAAATGATTTCTTGAAATGTATGTAATTAGGGGCACCTGGGTGGCTCAGTGGGTTAAGCCGCTGCCTTCGGCTCAGGTCATGATCTCAGGGTCCTGGGATCGAGTCCCGCATGGGGCTCTCTGCTCAGCAGGGAGTCTGCTTCCTCCTCTCTCTCTGCCTGCCTCTCTGCCTACTTGTAATCTCTGTCTGTCAAATAAATAAATAAAATCTTTAAAAAAAAAAATGTATGTAATTAAATATGGAAACTTGTCAGAGACTACTTACTGTGACTAGAGCACGTCTGCCCAGTCAAAAACTGCCTCCGTTGCCCTTTCACCAATACAGATAGCATCTCTTTCAACTGCATCCGTTCAGTTTTTGTTTTTTTTTTTAAGATTTTATTTATTTATTTGACAGAGCACAAGTAGATGGAGAGGCAGGCAGAGAGAGAGAGAGAGAGAAGCAGGCTCCCCGCTGAGCGGAGAGCCCGATGCGGGACTCGATCCCAGGACCCTGGGATCATGACCTGAGCCGAAGGCAGAGGCCTAAACCACTGAGCCACCCAGGCGCCCGCAACTGCGTCCGTTCAGTTTTAAGCAACTACTCTGTCCGGTCTAGCCGGAGCTAAACAAGCAGGGATTATTCTGTTTATTTTATAGATGGGACTCTGAAGCCCCCATAATCAACTGTGTTTAGGGTCCCCCAGAGAGCGGAGGCTGACACATCAAAGGGATGCTCTGCTCTCCCAGCTTGTGCCAACTTCTGTGCCTCTTAGAAAGGCAAACCAGTGTGGAAACAGCTGACCTCCGAATGCTATAAAGACAACATGCGGTAACTTGTGCCAGGGTGTTTTGTAGGGGTTAGAATAATACGTGTACGTTGGTGGTGAGAAAGGAAGTGGCGACAAGATTTATTGGAAATGAGAGTACATATTTGGATAGGGAATCTCGTGGGATATTGGTGTTTGAGGATCATCCACAGAGAGGTAAATGGGAAAGGTTCTTAAAATCTGTAGAATTGATCCAGCAATGCTGTAAAAGCTTGGGCTGGAGTAGGGAAGGCGGAAGGAATTTTGTGCAGATGGAATGCGATACCAGATAACTATGAAAGACGCATTCAATGGCAATGACTGCTGGAGAGGGTGCAAGTGTGCTTCCCGGAAGGCTCTGGTGTCGGGAGGGCCCGGACTGTGAGGGCGCCGGCAGAGGTCTATGAGTGAGTCCTAACATTACAGACCTCCGGAGAGCGCTCTGGGTGGTCTCTGGGTACAAACGGCGGCGACGCGGTGAGGCCGCTCAGTGGGTGGCGGTTAGGGGGATGGGCCGCTCCTCCGACAAACTGACTTCCCCCCCGGCGCTGGGAGTCAACGCGACTGACGCGAACACATCCCTCCGCCCTCCACCCCATCCCATCAGGGAGAAGCGCTCCGGGGACCCAGCCTTACCCAGCGCTTCACCAGAGTTCGGGCGTAGGCGCCTTTAATTCCCGGCGCCTCCGCCCCCTAGAAACCCTCCCGCATCGCCGGGCGGCAGCAATAGCCAATGAGAGACAAGCGATGGGCACGAGGACCAATAGGCGGAGGCAACAGTGCGGGGTGCGGTTGCCAGGGGGCGGGGCCCGGCTGCCTGCCAGGCTTGCCACCCTAGCAGGGGCGTCGGGGGTTCTGGACTTGGTTGCCACTTCCTGAGCCGCGGGGATGGAGGCGTCGCGCTGCCGGCTCGGACCCCGCGGGGACAGGTCCGAGAGGGGTGGTAGCTGGTCTCGTCTCGAGCGGGGCGGAAGGACTGAGTGAGACCATGGCGGTCCTCTCTGGGAGCTGTGAAGAGAGGGTGGTGGGCTCGGGTCGGGGAGGGAGGGACGGATTTGGCTGCAGGAGGAGAGTTTTGGGACCCCCGCTCGGCGGTGGAGGGATCCCTTTTTCCCGGGGAGCGGTAGGAGGCAGCGGCTCTGCAGCCTGCACCGAGAGCAGGGACTTTGTGTTGAGGTCCCTGCTTGGGAAACTCTTGGAGTTTTCGTTATGAGCTCGTCTTGCTCTCTCTGGGCCTCGCTTACTCAGAATGCGTTAGCGCTGCTCCTCACGCACTGCCCGGCAGGATCATAACTGAGGTGGATGAAGTCCTTCCCGGGGGTGTTGAGGCGGAAGGCTGTGGGTGATACTTAATCATTTGCTCTAATGCCATTGCTTTTGGCAGGCGGTGCTGAATTCTGGAACGGAGTCCCAGGGCTGAAAGTGCAAAACTAATCTTTCGCTTCTATCTGCTTCATAGTAATTGTCTTTTATTTAGGATTGTTCGTCTTATTTGCAGTGTACCATACTCCTTGTTTGCGCCCCTCTTTCCTGCCTCCGCCAGAGGGAGAGCCTGGGAAATAAAACAATCCTAAATCTCAGTCTGTCAATTTCTTGTTAGCTAGGTTAATGGAAAGTTAAGGGGGAGCGGCATGAATTCATTGGCTTCAAACTTCGGCATTGTCGGAGAATTGAACTCATACACGCCAACAGTATTCCCCGCTTTTTATGCCATTACCATGGCAAATAAAGATGTAGCATGTAAGGATTTAGTCTGATATTTAGATCAGTAGATATTTAGACGATTCTAAGCCATTTAAAAACGTCACAAGGAGTTGTTGGGCATAGAGAACCCCTATTTTCCCTTTTCATCAGCTTTTATTTATGTGATAGCTGCTATCTGAAAGATTTGTTCACTGCACTTTCTTTTTCTCAAATTGAGAGAAAATAACCCACGTTTACCAGTATAACCATGGAAATGCTAGGAGGACGTAAAGATAAAATTCAGCTTCTTTGTTGAATTCAGATGGTGTATGTTCAGTGTGGTCATTCAATAAATTAATTGAATGAATTTATGGCAATGAATTTCTTGGGTACCAGATATTTGATATATGACTCGTGATTTTTGGGGGGTGGGGTGAGGAATTAACTTTGAAACTGAGACCAGGAGGCAAAGTGGCTTTTAATCTATTGGATCTGAAGTTTAAAGGGATGATTTTAAAGTTTTCCCCTCTTTTTCTTTGCAAAGAAAACAGCTCTTTAGTTTAAAAATTGACATCAAAGGAGAGCGTGAGTCACTTACTGTTTCAACCGCCCTAGGTAATATTAAGTGCAGCTTCTATGACTGTTTAACTCAGTCGTTGCTGAGAAGGAGTGGAATGTCTCTTCTATTTTGGCTTCAGGTTGCGTGTTTAATGTTTTTGGTGAAATACATTGATACAGTTTTTGGTATTAATACCTTTCGATGTGAAGTATAACATCTGACTTTTAAGTTTCCTGTGATTTTTTTTTCCTTTGAATTTTACCATGTTTCCTTTGATTGTTTACCATGAGGAAGATTTCAATGAAGTGGAAAAATTACTAACAAACTTGAATTATTTTTCCTATTTCTGAAATAGCGGGTGAAAATTGGGGATGGAATTTGAAACATCACTCTCAGGACCTTTGTTGAAGCTAGGCATTTTGTATTATAGATTCCCTGGAGATGACTATGCCTGGCTAGTGCTAGAACTTGAGCTTTCTCTGGCCTTTGTCCCTGATAGAGAATTGAAGGTATGGTGAGAGATTTCTCTGTGTGATGTGATCTTGTGACCCAGTTGACTAAGAAGGTTCTAGCCTGTGGTTTATCCATGCTTTCTCATTAGGAATAAAAACAGTCATAGTAGCTGGAGGTTATGTATTGTCCAGGCTTGTTGTCCTCTCTCACGTTCTCTTTTTGAAGATTTATTTATTTTAGAGAGTGTATGTGCACGCGAGAGCGAGCAAGCACGGGGAGGGGCAGAGGGAGAGAATCCTGAAGTGGATTTCCCACTGAGTTGGATCCCTGGACTGAGACTACGTGACCTGAGCTAAGTTCCAAGGGTCAGCTACTTTACCTTCTGCACCAGCCAGGTGTGCCCCTTTCTCTTTTTTGAATGGTTCATCAGATCAGCTAATTGTTGGCAAATAGACTTACCCAGTGCTTAAATATACTCAGAATAACTAATCCATGACTGCAGTATGTTTGGCAGATATTAAAAGCTCCTAATAACATCAAACATGGGTGTATTTCTCCAAATGCAGACCTAGAAAGGAGAGACTAATCCTCTGCAGTAAATTTTCTTTTTTTCTGAGACCCTTCTGTTCCAAGCAGACAGACTCAGACCTTTTTTGGAATAGTTTTCATTTCTGACGTCGCTTATTCTTTCCTATGGAAACTCTGCTGTTTTTCCTGCATCTGTGCCCATTGAAAGAAAATGCTAACATTTGTTCTTACTAAGGGGAAATACACGCTTGAATTACTCGGAGGCAGAGTTGAAGGTGCCTTGCTTCTCCGTATTGGAGGGCTTTGGGACGAGAAGGGGCCTTGATCATTCCTTTCGTTCTGTTTGAGAAGAGTAGAATTATTATGGCTTCTTTCAAGCTAGAATTTCCTGTGCTCTGCTTTTGCTTTATCTCCTTCGAATCCATTCACTAGAAATAAGCTCTTCGTTCTGCTAAATCTATTCTGCCTCATCACATGTCCTTACTGTCGGAAATAATGAAGGCTGCAAAATTTTCCTGGCCTGGTTAAGGCTTAAATCCACTTATGCTTGAGGGAAGACGCCATGGCCACATGCTGATTGATGTGCTGTCTTTATTTACTCATTTTAATACCTGCCATGAGGGCTTGATAATGAGGATTGCCATCTCTGTCTCGCTGCCTTAGTACTTCTGCAAAAACATAAATGATGAGTACTGTGTCATGTGAGTCACAGAACCCCTGGAAGACCATGGTTCTGAAGAGGGTTATAGTAATACTTTTATCGTTTATAAGATGGCGTTTGCTGTTTTACCCCATGGCATTGCGGGAGACACTGGAAACTTCTACTGGGTTCCTGAGTTCTAGTCCCAGCATTTTTACTCTCTGGCAGTGTGATTTGAGCAGCTCATATACTTTTTTTTTTTAAGATTTTATTATTTATTTGACAGACAGAGATCACAAGTAGGCAGAGGCAGGCAGAGGGGGGAGGGGAAGCAGGCTCCCTGCTGGGCAGAGAGCCCAATGCGGGGCTCGATCCCAGGACCCCGGGATCATGACCTGAGCCGAAGGCAGAGGCTTTAACCCACTGAGCCACCCAGGCACCCCAGCTCCTCTACTTTTTTGGCTTTAGTTTTCTCCTCTGGAAAATGAGGGCTTCTTTGGATTCCCTCAGATTTATAACAAATTTATTAAATGACATATATATTTTAAAATAATGCATGGCTCAAATTTCAAAAGATACAAAATAATATTCAGTGAAAAATATGTCTTGCTGTCTCCGTGTCACCTTGTTCATTCATTGCTGGACATCCTAGGGGACCTTCCAAAGATATTGTGTTAAATAATCTATAAATATTCCTTTCCCACTCCTAAAGTTTGATTATTTTGAATTTTAAGGGTAAAATAGAACACTTAAAACCCTACTGTCTACTTTCATCATTGACGAGGTGTTTTTAGAATATGAACTATAGTTCCTGCAAAATTTTTTCTGTGTAATTAAAGTATAGAAAATAAGACCGTAAGAAGAAAACAAGTATTATTTTTCAGACAGGCTCCTAGAAGAATAAATCTTGGTATTCAGTGTTTTAGGAAAAAACTTCAGTACATCTGTAGTTTGCCTTTGATTTTAGGTTTTAGAATGCAACCATTTTTTTAAAGATTTTGTTTATTTATTTGACAGAGATTACAAGTAGGCAGAGAGGCAGGCAGAGGGCAGGGGGTGGAAGCAGGCTCCCCGCTGAGCAAGGAGCCCCTTGGAGGGCTCCATCCCAGGACCCTGAGATCATGACCAGAGGCTTAACCCACTGAGCCACCCAGGTGCCTCTAGAATGCAACCAATTTGATAGACAGTTGACTTGTTTCACTATTGAAACAGTGTAGGGGGCCTGGGTGGCTCAGTCATTAGCGTCTGCCTTTGGCTCAGGTCATGATCCCGGGGTCCTGGGATTGAGCCCAGCATCGGGCTCCCTGCTCAGTGGGTGGAGTGGGGTGCTGCTTCTCCCTCTCCCACTACCCCTGCTTGTGTTCCCTCTCTCGCTCTGTTTCTCTCTCTGTCAAATAAATAAATAAAAATCTTTAAAAAAAAACAGTATAATTTTGTTATGGCAATGCCATATGAACGATATATAGATAAGGTAGAGAGGAGTTTTTTGGCTGAGTAAAGGTCTTAAGCTGTGCTGTTTTAAAAGGGAAAATCTAAAAAAAAAAAAAAATGAAAGGCAAAATCTGAGGGGCACCTGGGTGGGTCAGTGGGTTGGGCCTCTGCCTTTGGCTCAGGTCATGATCTCAGGGTCCTGGGATCGAGCCCCATGTTGGGCTCTCTGCTCCGCAGGGAGCCTGCTTCCCCCTCCCCCCACCCCACCTGCCTCTCTGCCCACTTGTGATCTCTCTCTCTCTCTCTCTCTCTGTCAAATAAATAAATAAATACATTAAAAAAAAATAAAAGGGAATATCTGTCAAGATAAAATATTCAGTAATAAGGCTTACGTTTGAGTATCCTTTGTTGCCCTCATAGCATCTCACTCATTTGATCTCTCTTAAGCTTCATACGTCCAAAGAAAGCAGGGCTGGTATTGTGATCTTCATATTATAGATGGGGAAGTTAAGAATGAGAAAGGATGTGATATACCTAAGGTCACATGACAAGTAAATGATGCAGTCGAAAGTAAAATTCAGAAGTAAAATCCAGGCTTTTGATTTCTAGTCTCCGTTTCCGCCCCCCACCCCCTG